ACCCCACCCAAAAAAAGAAAAAAAAGAAAAAAGAAAAAAAAGAAAAAAAGAACACACAAAAATACCTTAAGCGGATGGAACCTGTTGCAAACAACTACGGCATCTTGGTCTTTGGTCTAGTAGAGTGGATATGCAGTTACACAATGGTTAATATTCTTCGCATCTAGCATCAGTTAGATTTTACTTAAACAAGCATCTATTGCTCTCCGTATAAAGCGTTTGTTGTAAGGACTTGAATCTGTCAGGAGAGAATATGCTAAAATTAGTCACTTTGCCCTTGTTTTGATGTGGTCAAGCAGAAATTTTATGGTCAATCAACTTTAAAAAAGTAATTGATTGAATCATTTGACTTCACAAAGTGATAATTCTTTGGAGTTTCCGAGCCATATCTTGGTCAGCAATACTCACCTCTAAAATCTTGACATTCCATCTATTAGATACAATGTTTGTAGGTCTTAAATAAAGCTTATGTGCTAAGTTACTCGTGGTAAAGGCTTATTTCCAGATAAAATGCCTCCATAACCGAGTGCTAGGGGATAGAATATATCACACACAATGAGATGTTTTCTCATGTTGCATTTGTTATGTATAATTTTCTTCATAATTTTTTGCATAGATTTTCTTGAGAGTGTTCAGTATGGCACCGACATTACTCAAAATTCCTTGAAAGATAAGATTCTATGGACATTCCCATATTTCTTAGAGAAGTGCGAAAAGTAGATGAGTTACACCACATGGTAAGAATCTTATATGCAAAATCTTATTTTCAAAGAGATCATACATGTCTAGGGATCATAAACGTAAAATGCGTACATTCTCTGTCATGCCCTTGGGATCGAGCTGTTTTTTGACTCCGGGGTTGCGCAACACAGTGCACTCAGACATCAATTTTCAGTTATCAATTTCAGAGCAATATTTCAATTTTCAAACTATTCCAAAATAACACATATCAAAGTAGTACTCAAGATCTTTCTTCGACAATTTATAGAGTTACTACTATTCCAAAATTTATACATAGTGTGGTTGCACAAACCGCATATATCTATACTCCAAAATACATCTACGTCCTTTTAACTTGCCGCACATATATACATACACATGCTAACAAGTACGTACTCTCAAAACAAACCAAAAGTATAGGGTTTACCCTATCCCCTTATCATCCGCAAAAATTCCTCTCCCAAAAAATTTGATCCGTCTGACAAGTACAATCTATCCTGGATTCTCCTATGAAAAACATTTATGATGAGTGGGATGAGTATGACACTCAGTAAGCAACCCATCTACGTTCTAAGCCATAGTCTAACACAAAAATACCGGTACATTAACAATTCGGCACAAAATAATTGGAATTCAGAAAAATGAATAAAATCAGACTAAATCAAATAAATTCAAACTTCTCAAATTCAATACAGTTTCAACTGAAAATTAAACGTAGCAGTTGAAAAATTGAAATCTCATTCTTCATAAGCTTAATTATTAAATGATTACTCTTACCATCTGAGCCAAGGGACCAAAAATTCGTGATGGTATTACCCACCATGTCCAGAAACAGTGCAGTAATAATCCAGATATTCTCATGAATTTAGTAATCTCAACGGATGTCCCAATTAAAACTCCTTTGAATGTCTCCAAGGGGTCCAGACAAAACCCCCTTGAACGTCTCCAAGGAGTTCAGACAAATACCCATCCGAACGTCTCCAGATGGTCCAGACAAATATCATGGGTCTATAATCCATAATTATATCAATAATCTCTTTAAATTTCACCCACGTGGGTCCAGACAGAATTTCCCAATGACTAGAGGTATTTATTTACATCCTTAATAGTGATCTTTGTCGAAATTTTTTAAATCAAACAAATGTCAGTAGAAATCTTTATTTGAAATTGTGTTATAATTCTTATTTTATATCTTTCGATAGTCTTTTCTATTAAAATATTCCAAGAATCCTTAATGAAACTCTGATACTCTATTTTTATGAATTATATCAATACACTTTAAAAAAACTGTACTTATGACTGTAGTATCATGTTTGCCTAATATTTAGTACAAATGTAGTCATGTCTCAAAATTTCACCCATAACTGATACAAACAACTTACATTGCAGTCTTAATGTGTTATAGCACTAACTAAAAAAATTTAATTACTTTCCTATAAACATAAGAGAGGATAGTAACAATTTTCACTTCTTCAGGGACTTAAATGAACAAGTGCGCAACATAAGTTACATTTACTCTGAAAGAGATTAGTCAAATAGTGTAGCATGGAACTCTTGGAATTTCTTATATGCTAGTTTAGAGCTAACCTTTTATAGGTGATAACTGGTTGATCTCTTTTCTTCATTATGTAATATTAGATGAAATATCCAAATTTCTTATTGGTCTTTGATGTATTTGTCTCTAACATCATTTTAGAAATGAAAGTATAGAACAACTTTAAGCTCTATTGCGTATGAATCAGTTTGACAAATATGTGAATCCTGCATCACAATAATTTATACCATGCTTCCCTTGTTCTTTAATCAAACTATCATTCCTAAGGGTACAAATTAACAGTAGCTTAGCTTCATATGTCATATGTCAAATAACAATTATTACATTCAAACTGGAGTTTAGAAAGAGGATGGAATTACTTAAGTGAATCTACAATTTTCAGTTTGCACCCTTCTCTCTCCCATTTCCTTTTTATTTCATTCATTATTTATGATAGAGTTTAAACCTCTTGTATGTAGAATAACTAATAATGTTAAAAATATGTCATACTTGGTAAACTGTACATGAATGTTCAAGACAATATAAATAGATAAAAAAACTCATTTCCTAAGTAAAAGCAATTCTAATTATACTGTCAATTTCAGATTATTATTGTTCAATTAGTAGAGGTATTACATACACACCAATGACAGGAAACTAAAATTCCTGGGAATCTCAGGTTGATTGAGTATTTTAAACGCTGCATCTCTACTGTCAAATTTCCTGAAGATTGGTGCATAGTCTTAATTTTAGGCAATTGAGAAAGAAAAGTGAGGTTGAAAGTAGTTGAAAACTTAATGGTTTAAACCTTATTATTAATAAACACGTGCAACCCTCACTATTATGCCAAGGTGGAGTGGAGATGTCGAGGAGTGGAGAAGTCGGTGTAAGGCATCTGCAGAAGCTAGTACCGCTCCACAAAGCCTACTAGAATCTGAAATATGCTTCCAAAATGCTGTATGTTGGCCATAGAAGTCGGGAACGTGGGACGCTATAGCAAACCAGGACTCGGATTCAATCGTCCCGGATTCGCGGTGGAACACGACACAATTCACCAACTTTAGCAACCCATTTAAAATATAAGCTACTAAAATTTTGAAAAGAAAATAACTCTTTTTAAAAGAATAAAGAACAAAATCATGAGATATTAAACAAATAAAGTATGCATACCATAATTGCAAGTTTGCAACATGATTTTCAGGGTTCTTTTACCAATTTGATATCAAGTAGCATATTTCATAAATTTGACTCTTGCAAAACCTCCAATTCCTACATTTATTAACGGAACCTAAAACATAGGACATCCATTGGTGTATCATATAAGTAATACCCTTTCGTACCCAATTCCAAATGAGTGGCGTACCACGCTTCTGTACCATCCTGTGAACCGGAACGGCTCTGGTTCTGTGCAACTATGTTATTGACATCACTGAAAGATGTTAAGGGTTTGAAACCAAGCTTTATTATTTAGACTGCCAACTAATTACTTCTCAGCCATTGAGCATGCTAGCGTGTAAAATTTAACCTATTCATCCAAAGAGTTCAATCTTTACAGTGCATCTATACACTGCATCATATGATTTAAATGCACACTATCTTTATTGGTTGAGACTGAATGTCTGTGTGCTAAATCACATTGGGTAACTAGACATACCTGTGTTATTCGTGCCTTTTATCTTTTAACTTTGAGCAGGTTTTTTTGAGCTTACTTTATAAAAGTTAGCGCGTGCAATTTCCCATCCATTCAGAAAAATTTTCATGAAAGGAACAGATTATTTTTTGGGTCAGATAACTAGCTAGTAGAGACATCCCTAAATATTCTCGGTATTATTAGCATGTGAAAAATGCCACTTCATTTCTTATTTCTCTAAATGCGTGCACAAAAAAGAAGCATGTTTTGACAAAACACAACAAGGATTCATCACTTAACTCTTCCTCAAACTTTATTCGGTATATTTGTTTAGGGACTGCAGCATAATCTAATTTAATTTGTGGATGCATTTAACATATTTGAATTGTTTATTATAAATTTTGGAATGAGATACTCACGTGTTTGTAGCTTATTATTTAAGGTGGCAGCCTGTGGAAAAGTTAAATCTCCCAGATAAAGATGGACTGCAAGGTTTCCATAAAGTCGATGTTGATGTTCCAGCTGATGAATGGGTCAATATAACAAAGTTCTATGATGTCCTAGTATTTAATACTGGACACTGGTAATCTCTATTTTCTTTACTACTGATTTCTTTCTGTGAAACTATATTCAGTATTGGCTGTTAAATACACCCCTCAATGCAGGATCATGTCAAATCCACGCATTAAAAGAAAGCTATTGCATCTTCATGCATTCTAAAAAAGACTTGACAGTTTTACATATTTGCTCTTACTATAAGAGAATCATTAATTGTGTTGCATTTGTGTGGGAGAGGGACAGTGCCAAGGATAGCTGCAGTAGTGGATTGCTTTGGTACTTCCTCCCCTAGCATGTCCTCCCATGTGCCTCTACCTAAACTTCCTATTTGTTCTTAGTTTGAAGTTTATTTATAACATGCCTTTGTGTGAGGATTAGGGAAACCCTTTGTTAATGATGATCGTCATTGTAGCGGTTTTGAGTATCGGATATGTAAGGTATGTTTAGATCTGGTTATAAGATCACAACACTATACTCCAAAATTTCCTTTTAGACATATATATAAAATCTGTTAGCAAGTGGACTGTACTTAAATACTAGGGAACTAGGTTAATTTCTTTTAGATAGCTATACGACGCAGAAGTGATGTAAATAAACAACTATTTCACATATGGGTGTTTCTGTCTGATTAATTTTACTGCATTACAATGAGAAATAGATAGACATAAAATTTAGGTAATTGCAGCATAGCGTTTAAAAGCTGGCATACAATTCTATGATCCAGGTGGATTTCTAGTTTGTAACAAGTATTTCACATTCTGATCATGCCATGCTTAAACTTTTCATTACTTCAGATTTCAAATAATGTGCATCATTATTTTGATTCTCTACAGCTGCTATCATCCCATGCTATTGAAAAGTTACTTTGCTCTCGAAGTAAAACAAACAATAACATATAATTCACCGCTTTTATTGGAAATCAAATCTCCAAATATTACCTGACAATATTAGTGTCACTTTTACGTAGGTGGGGTCTTGATAAATTTCCAAAAGAAAAACCTCTGGTTTTTTACAGAGAAGGAAAACCTGTAGTTCCTGCTCTTGGAATCTTAGAAGGGCTTCAGGTGGTCCTTGAAAGTATGGTTTCTTATATTGAAAGAGAGGTCCCTAAGAGCACCCTAAAGTTTTGGCGCACTCAGTCTCCTAGACATTTTTATGGTGGTGAATGGGATCACAACGGCAGCTGCTTATTTACTGAGCCTCTGAAACAGCAAGAGGTACTCGTGAATATTTCATCACGAACTCTTTTCAGTCAATTTATTTTCCTCAGGTAGAGCTATCACACTGATATTAGTACAGCTCGATTCATGGTTTGATCCCAGGAATAAAGGGGTGAACAAGGAGGCCAGAGAAGTCAACCTTCTGATCCTACAAGCATTGCAAGGATCACGTATTCGACTTTTGAACTTAACTCATCTGAGTGAGTTCAGGGCAGATGCTCATCCCGCAATCTGGTTAGGGAAAAAAGATGCGGTAACAATCTGGGGACAGGATTGCATGCACTGGTGCCTTCCAGGTGTCCCTGATACTTGGGTCGATATCTTATCTGCACAAATATTATACAACTTGGAAACAGGGTAATGTGGTAATTAAAAATTATAAAGAAGCAAGTGTTCTGGCCTGCAAGTCCTTAATCTGAAGAGATGGTGAGTTTTTTTGCACGAAATCACTAGAGGACATATCTTGGGAGAAGACTGGCCGATATAATTCTTTCAAGTGCATGACTAGACTGGCCGATATAATTCTTTCAAGTGCATGACTATGGAATTCAGAATTTGTGGCCCCGTGTACTTTTCTTTTTCCTCGTTCGTTATGTACCAACTGGGTCCTCATAGTACATGGCATGTTTCTAAACTCAAAAGTCTCATATGGTGCAATGATCCTGAGCCAAGGAAATATTATTTCCGGCCTCTCATATGCAGTTCATTTTTTACGAGTTTGGTTTTACTGATTTCTTAAGCTATGAATTGTTGCAGACTTTTGGTTTTGTGCCATGATTATCGCAAAGTGCTTGCCTGTATGGTTTAGTTCCTATCCACATTTGAGGTGTCAGTCCTTTAAAGCAGTCAGTTGCGGTTACTGAGAGCTTTTTTGACCGAAAGCCTTTTAACTTGTTTAGTTCAATAGTTATCACACAGATTACTATGTGTTTTGACTTGCAGAGTGAATGTAAAGAAAAACGCTACTCTTTGAAGTGTGTTTCCAGATGAGTTATGAATGGTGTTTTACTAGCTTTATGTGAATTACCACACCTTCCAAGAAAGGGAAGAACCCATTTGTTTAGTTATGCTACAAACTAATGTGAAGCTCTGTTCTCTGTCAATTTTGGGTGAAGGATAGAAATAAACTCCTGCTTGGTTTCTGTTTCTTTGTCTTCCTTCTTCAGTCTTTTTTCTTGTATGGGCGTTGTTCTACTTCTTTTTCTTTTCTATTTCTGAAAGATTTCTTTTGTGTTTGGCACTTCAGAGATGAATTGATGATGTGTGGATGAAAACGGTATTGTGTTTGCAAATAAATGCGTAACACTTGATAACCAGTAGCCTTTCTTCTCATGATGTTATGGTGGAACGAATGGCACTGTGCGTATGCCCTCTTATGCGTTTGCGTGTTGTGTGTATGCGCGTGTGTATAGAAGGGTTATACCACTGAACCCTTGTATAGGAAATAAATGGCATCACCTGCCACTCTTTATGACAAATAGTCAAAAGCTACGAGTTTGCTCAGTCCTTGCTATCTTTTAACTGCCTACATCCTCCTCTCATGTATCCACTTTTATCTATCTTTCTTCGTGCAAGAGATTTGCTGTTGTAATCAAACGGTGGCGGAAGAAGTAGGAATTTTGTAACTGGATCATCTGCCTCTCCGGTCATCCGTAAGCTGGCTGAGAAGCTGCATACTCTCAAGGTCATTGCTGCAAACATAAATGATTTCAATTGTTGAGATGGAACCGTGGCTTAATAGTCTCAATCAAACCTTCCGCTTACGAGGCAGAAGATGCACGCATCCTCAGAACCAGGCCAGCCCTCTTCCTCTGCTATGTTCTACAGGGTTGTGCCCTGGAAAGCAAACGAATTTTGTTTTGGCGTTCGAAGAGGTTGGATAAATTAGAAAAAAAATGCTTCTTCTGGTTGTGCCCATGTTGTTGAGATGCTAAGAGCACATGATGACTTCACGAACAAAATATACCTCGTTGGCTGTGTTTGTAGCCTACCTGAGTGTCTATGCAAAACACATTTCCATTTTATATCAAAGATTGAGGATAATTTTCATTATATCAAAGATTTGAGGGGTAGCTATGCAAAACACATTTCCATTTTATAAGCTTGGATGCTATCTGAGCGTCTGACTATTTTTGAGATTACTGGAAAAAGTGAATGCCTCTGGAAAGTGTTGTTAAACTGGTGCGATGGATGATTCCAGAATTTCACGAATGATTCCCAAAATGTTTTGTATTCTTCAGGGTATTTGCCACTTGATCTTGTAACAGCAGCAGTAACATGTACCTGTAATTTTTGTTGGTGATATTTTTTGCAGTGTATTTATCATTGTTGTCTCATGCTTGCGGACATCTATATGAGAGTAAAGCAATCTCATTGCTTGCTATGAAGTGTTTTTATGAAACCATTTAGTGAGCGTAGTGCTTTTACCTCTGTGAGACCAGTAGTTTCTCCTTGACCTGAAATACACATGAATTTATTCCCAGGGGTGTAAGATAAGAAATGGAGAAAATGCTATATATGTTTGTAATAGGAGCAAAACTTGTGTCCACTTAAGTGGACATCCACTAAACTTTTTAACCCTTAGGTGTTTCCTAGGGATCCTTGCATGATATAAAGTGACTTTTTATATGTTAAATGAGTGGATATAAAGTTTGGTGGACACACTATTCACTATCCACCTAAGTTGACACAAGTTCTACTCTTTGTAATAGATATATTATGATTTAACATTATTCAAGTAGCACTACAAGAAGGCCTGTTCTGCATATGCTAGCAATACATCATGCATGCCATATATTTAAATTTTAATATAGATATATATGTTTGTACTCTCTTTCTTAATGAGAGAGGAGACGTCGGCGAGGCTCTGCTGGGCGAGTCGGCCAGTGAGGTGGCGGAATCGCGTACTCAACGCGATCCCTCAACTGCTTGGCAACAGCATGAGGAGTCCGAGGTGGGACTACTTGCTGTGCTCTGGAAGGAGGATGAGTCTCCGACCGTAGGTCTCCAGAAGGTGGGGGGACGACTGATGCAGCTTGCTGTGGCTGTGGAAGCCGGCTGAGAAGCTCGCTAGTGAAGGTAGCGAGTTGCTGTTGGAAGATTTGAGAAATCTTCTGAGCTGTTTCTTCAAGATGGGCTTGAGTAACGTAGCTCTGGTGCGGTTCTACAGGGTGAGACTGGTTAGCCCTATCTTCAGAACCAAACATATTTTCTCGAAAAAGAAAGATGCTCCACGGTAAGCGCCAAACTGTTGATGTTAAATGATCACACACTCAATAAAAATGGTTGGATGGGGGTGGGATTGATGAGGGGCCGCTTCCTTCCCTAAATATCTGGTTCTGAGTTGAGTGACTGAAGCCTGCACATGTAAAAACTCGTGAGAGGACGGGGACTGGTTCCCCCGCGGTTCCTCCGACGATCAAGTCAGCCGGTGAACTTGAGTGGGGAATATGATGAACTATGAGAGTTCTTGTGTCTAGTATAACTTATAAATATTGCTTAAAGAACTGATCTGGAAGAATATTCTATGTTAGAATAGTACCTCTATTTATAATGATGGTATAATGATAGAATATTAGACACTTCGGCCGAGCACAAGATGACGGTGAAGAAGTATGAGTTGGTGGCTGCGTCAGCACCTTCTTTACACGTGTCGGTCGGCGAATGGAGGAGAGATTACCTCAGCATTAAATGAGATGCGATCTATGGTATGGCGGTGCTGACGTGGTCCAATGAGTCATGAAAACTATCGGGTTAGAGGTACGATGCGCTTGCTAAACATTAAATGCGACGCCGACGTGCTGTCAGTGGGAGAAGATCGAGGCTGAAGTCGCCCTCTAGCTTTACCGAGAAGTAACGTCTTTTGAGTTGTCCTCGTGAGACGTCGAATAGTTGGGCTAGTGGGCTCATAGCAAGTCGTCTTCGACAAGAGGATCGACTAGTTCCACCATTCGAGTCGACATGAAGAGATGTCAACTCAACGGGTCGGCTACGTCGAGATTTTTAGCGATTTTGACCCTCAATCTGACTTGAGTGGTGCATGTAGGGGGACACCTGTCCGTAGCTGGCAAATGGCTGTACTTTGACGGCTAAAAACACCATAACACATATAAATAAAAAAATGCTATAAAATGCACTCTATAGTCTATAATAATTCATGTAGAGAAAGTAGAATAGAAATGTCTCCCAATACAAATCTTAAAGTTGTTAGAAAACGATGGCGCGCCAATGTTCTAGAAATTATATTAAAATTTATTAGTTACTAGTGGCCAACTTGAAAATTTATATTAGAGACGCATGGTAAGTCTTTTCTATATGGTTTTTTATAATTGCAAACTATGGATGACCCCCTTCTTACGTCCTCTTAGTTGCACCAACTCCCCTCAACTACTTTCTTAGCACTTAGCCTCCCCCAATTCATGAAAAAGAGTGACAACATATTCAATTTAACCTTCAAAAAAATGAAAGTCAAGGAATGCTCTGTGTTAATAAATTCGTTGAGGGGTTTTAATTACAGCTAGAGGTATAGATGAGGGGGGTATATGCGATTTACACTTTGATGACATTGTGATGAAGAGAAGAGAAGGAAGGAGTTTTTTGGGGTGCAAAGAAAGACATCGACAGAATGCGGGGGATGCTAATTAAGTTGAGCGTTTTTGGTTTTTAGTGATCTTGTTCGTGAGCATTATCTAGCGAATAAAAGCATAAACGTTAAGTAACTTGAGTTTCTGTGAGGCTATGCCTCCTAATTTCTACATCAGTATACTCTCATACGTTTGAGGAAATATCATGTATATGTTGTTGATAAGACCTAAAATAATATTCATCTGTATATAATAAGACCTAAATTATTATTCATCTAATATTCCAATGTGTTCGTTTTGTGTATCTTCAGATATCCTGAAGACATTCTAAAACCGATCTACTCGAACACTAATGAGATGCTACCTCATTAAATATATATTTGTATTCTCTATTGATCGCCAAGTAAAATATGAAACAATGTGATCATAAAACATGCATCCGATAAAACTATCCACCGTTGATATTTTAAAGAGGTAACAACAACAACAAAAGGTATCACATAGGAAACAACCATGAACATTTGCGGTTAGGTACGAAACAACCATAAACATTTTTTCCGTTAGAGAAAACTACAATAAACTTTCAAAACTGCCAAAAAAAAAATCGTGAACTTTTGGAAATTGTTGCTAACGGCATTAATGGCTTGGATAAAAGGTCTAAACTACCCTTGTTTACATCTATCAAAATGCAAGTTAAGTTCACAAGAGTAATCTAGAAGACATATAAAAGTACACAAGGACAAAGTTGCACGAAATATGTCATGGGCAAACAACGTGAATAACTCACCTTAGCTGCTTTAAGGCATGTAAATTTTAGTAAAATAGTTCATGTCAGATTTATTTAATGAAAAAAGGAAAAATTGTGTCAATGCCCCAAAAAATAAACTTTTCATGTACCCCGGCCCCGTATTACTTTTCATGTGTATTAGGCCCTAAATACATTGGTTTTATGTGATTCAACCCATATTTGCACTTTTCAAGAGAAAAAATCCAAAAAAATTCCATCAATACCCCTCTTCTTCTCTACCAATTTTATTTTCATGGAGACCACAACTCCCTCCTCCCCTCTTCTCTGCCCAATCTTCCTCCTCTCTCCCTCTTATTTCTCATCCCCTACGACCCCCGATCTCCCTCTCCCGCCTCC